CCAGCAATTTTACTATTCAGATTCTGCAGTCTAGGCTTCAGCAGTATGTGAATTGAGAATTACCAGAAGATCATACTGGTTTGCAAAGAAGTAGTGGAACCAGAGACCAAATTTACAAGATTCACTGAATTATGAGCAAAAACAAAACAAAACCAAATGAAAACAAGGGATTTTTCTTCTCTTTTTTTTTTGTTCTTTTGTCTCTGTTAATTATTTTTGGACGTCCTGTAGTTATTAGCTTCCAATTATCCAATTCTAATTTAATGAATTATTTTCTTCAGTGAACTATTATTTTTTTTAATCAATTGGCCATTTCTGTTTTTTTTTATGGTGTTCTTTAAAAAAAATGTGGCTTTTTTAAAACAAGCTGTTGATTCTCTTTTCATAATTTTCTTGAACTGTTTTCATTTATTTTCCAATTTTTTTTCTTCTACCAACCCATTCTATTTTTCCTCTACCAACCCATATTTCTTTTTCTGTTTTAGGAATTATTTTTAGGCTTGTTTCTAACACACAATTTTCTTAGAGGGGCTTTGCTTATAGCTGTTTTTGTGTTGTTTTCTTCTGAATTTTGTGTTGATCTTCCCTCTTACCAAATTGATTTTTATGGTCAATTTCTCTTTTTCATTGTTTGCTGATTTTTGCTGTCTGTGTCTTGACTTTGAACTTCATGTTAACTTTGGCTCTGTTCACCTAGGGTGGGGGGCGAGGCACTATTATTAGCTTTAAGCTTTTTTTTTGCCTTGCTACTTTTGCAGATAGTTCTGAGTGTCTCTAAGGTTTTGGTGCTTCCAAGGAGTTGCGAACTGGGGAGAGTTATGGTCATTACTCTTTTGATCTGTGCTCTGGTCCTTATCCAGTCACTGCTTCCTTTTAGCCTCAAGCGATATTGCTCCTTGGAGGTCCTATTCTGTTCTCTCTGTCCTGGAAGTGTGACCCAGGAGTGAACATGGGTGATGGAGTTGTTAAACAGTGCCCAGTCTGGTGCCCAGTGCTAGCACAGGGGACTTCTGAAGCCTTTTTCTGACCAGTTGTGCAATCCCCTTATTGTCTCTGGGCTGAGAGCTCCTGAAGTTATTGCTGTTTTTATCACAGCCCCTCCCAAGGTTTGTAGGTAGTCTTGCTGCTACACTTATCTGGTCTGGCCCATACCCCAAGGTCAGAAAAACCTCCTTTTGGCCTTCTAAATTGTTTTGCACTAGGAAAAAAAAAATCTCGTTCCGACTTTTTGTAAGCTAAGCTGGTGCAGAATTTTTATTTACAGCATATTTTAAAATTGTTTGGAGGAGGATTTTGGGAGAGTTTGGCTGTTATGCCTCTTCTACTTTGCCATTTGACTCTGGCTTCTCTATATAGTGTCTTAAAATGTGAACAAATTTTATAAACATCACCTCTATATATCTATATATGTATATAAATGTCTCTAAAATATAGATGGAGAAAGTAGGGGTCAAAAAGATCTATTGAGTAGAACAAGTTCATCTAGGTTGTAAGGGCTATAATAAAACTATTAATTATTATTTTTAATCACCATATATTTTTGTCTTCTGAAGCTGAGTTGTATGATGGGGAGAACAAAATTTAAGCAAAGGGAGAGAAGGACTGATACTTCATATTCTACTTTCTGGGGGATCTTTTAAAGTCCCTACGAATTTAGTCCTTGGCCACTGAGGTCATCAAAAATAAATTGAGAAGAGCTCAGAGATAAACAGTCTCCTGACCCCAATCCCAGGGCTCTTTCTATCACATCACCTCATTAACAATGTTTAAGGTATTGTACTAAAGTCAGAAGGATTCTCTCCTCATTAGAAGTTAAAAAGTGACCTGGGAGAGCAGCTATCCCCATAGAACAAAGAAGAATAAGACCAATTTTGTTTTTAAGGAACTCTGACTGCTCACAACACAATCAGCATTGTGGAAGGAGGTTGCTATCCTTTTTGCAGAACTTAGAGTATTGAGGTGAGTGTTTTAAAGCTTAATTGAGAGGCAGTCTATTGTAGCGGGAAGAACAATGTTGATTCTGTATTCAAGAAAAGACCGGCTCTGAATTACCACTCTCACATTTACTAAATGTGTGACCTTGGAAATGTCACTGAACTTAAACCTCAGTTTTCTTATCTATATTATTCATCTTATTAATGAAGAAAAAAAACAGCCATATCATAAACCTCCCAAGCTTGTCTTGAGATTCAAATGAGGCGCTATATATGCAGCATTTTTTTCTGCATACTTTAAAAGGAAATATACATATCACTGAATAGTACATAAGTATTTTATTTCCATCATTTGTGTTCAAAAATGAAGTGAGTGAATATTATTTCATTCCAACTTAGCCAGGTATATATGGAGTATTTTATCATCCTGATGACTCATCTTAATAGAGATGTCTAGCTTTTGTATATTAGAGCTCTAATCTGCCTGCTGTCATCGTATCCTATGATAATAGTACAGATCAAGATTCAGTAAAGAGCCTGGGCTACCTTCACAATAATGGCAGGCACCCCAACCCCTAAAAGACCATATGTTTTCATAGTAGGGGAGGTGTACACTCTGATATATATGTTTGGTTTTTTTAATCATTTAAGATCATGGGTAAGAAAACTTTTTTTTAAATAGTGTGAGATTAATTTTCATTTTAATTGCTGAACTAAAATATACAAATATTGTATGTAACATATTAAAGACAGGCATTACTTCAATCATCTTTACTTTGGTGAAACTTAAAGTAAATCTTTAAAATATAGTTCCATGGGAAGGATTTTGAAATTATCTTAAATTTGGTGGGCATTTACTCGGACATATTTCCTTTTCCAAACTTAGACCATTTTCGTGTAAGACATTGAAATACATATAATTTTCATGTTTGTTTCTTTAGTTTCTACCAAAACATTCCAGCTTTGGGGTGCTATTCATTTTCAATAACTTATATTACCCCTCCCAGAGGGATTTCAAAGACAATCTCTTAACCCAAAGCAATAATTTATATTTAAATTATCCTGAATTGGGCAGGGTAGGAGGAAACATTTGTTAGCATTGGGAAGTCTCATCATTGAATTAAAAATCATATCTTTAAAACAACCAATTCCATTTACTAATACTTCACTGAATCTATTCATGACATGATTCAAGACAGACAAAAATATATTAGAGAACTCTTAACCCTAAGGATATTTGAAAACACAGGACATATGAAGATTAAATTTTAAAAAGATAACAGCCTACAAGGCAACATAGACTCCATGTCAAATTGTTGTGTACATATGCTATAATAATTCAGGATAAAGGGAGATTCATGTGGACTGGAGAGATGAAAAGATCTCTAAGTAAACTACAGATTCTATGAAGCAGAGGTAATGAATGAGAACATTCCATGCAAAAGAGTAGGAGATGGGAAGAGGGAGCCATGAGGGGAGAGAGAGTGCCAGGTAGGATGGACAGTAAAAAAAACAAATTACTTGAATGGAATTATGTAACAAGGTGAAAAGATAGGATTAGGCCAAGTAATGAAGGATTTTAAATGTGAAATAACTTTATATTTGATTCTAAAGGTAATTGAGAGATATTAAAGTTTATTGTGTAGGGGAATAGCAAAGTAAGAAATGTATTTTATGAAATTGTCAATGAGCACTCTTTAAGTCCAGTCATTGAACAAAATCTAAATTCATCTAAATTAAGACTGAACAATCGAAAAAAAATTCTCTTTTTGTCAAGCCAGGAGAGCCAAATGAACTGTCTTTTGATTCCTTCCTACAATGTATATGTTATTTTTTAAAAGGCAGGTACTATTTCAAATTGACTTCATATAGAGAAAATTTAGTACAATGTCTGACATACAGTAGGCTCTTAACAAATGGTCATTAATTCATTGGTCCAATGTCAATTCACTAGAAGATGTCCTTTGAAATGCCCCAGGGAGCTAATTTTAACCCTTTGCTGATTGACACTTCATTAACATGACTTAAAGCCAGAGTGGGAAGTGTCAAATGTGAAGATGATACAAAACAAGGAAGGATAACTGACAGCAGATGACAGAGTCGGAATCCAAAAAGCACTTGATAGTCTGGAGCATTCTGCTCATGTGATAACATGAAATTTAATAACAATTGATATGTAGACAGAATTTTAATTACAACAGTGGCTTCTGATTTAAAAGATAAATAAAATTATAGTTTAAAAAAGCAATTATCTAAAAAAAAAAGATAAGAAAATTCATTGAACTGGAAATTCAATAGGTGTGAAAAAAAACAAAAAAGCCAATGAGATCTTGGGAAGTATTAAGAAGAAAAATGGATTTTCCAAGAATAATAATGTGATTATTTCTCTATACTCTGCTCTGGTTAGAATGCATCTGAACATCTGTTTTCTGTTTTTAAAGGAAATCAGTTCATGCTTTATGTTGACCTGTGGGATGTTTAACATGTAGAAGACAACTCTCAGTGAAAGAATCAGGTTGGAGAATACTGGCTGTCTTGGATGTGGAGAACATTGTCAAATTTAAAAAGGTGATAAAAGTCAGAATGAGAGCAAAGAGTAAAAAGTTGTGGAAAGGAAATTTTATGATTAATACCAAGGTGAGGAAGAGAGGCAGTGACAGAGAATGAGAGTGAGAATGAGAGTGAGAGCAAGAATAGGAGTTTTAAGCAATTAGATATAGAAAAGCGTAATGATTATCTCAGGATGTACATAGTTTCCACAATGAAAGTCCACAAGAAGCTGGACAACTGATTTGTCAGTTAAGTTGTAATGGGGATTTTTTTCCTAGTATACATTGGATTAGATGGCTGTGACATCCCTTACAACTCTGAAATTTGGTGGTTTTGTGATTTTATGGATAATACAGTTAAAATGAATTTGAAATTATAGAATATTCAAAATCAAAGGGAATTAATCACTTATCTCTAGGCCAAATCAATGTATTCATTTTATAGGAACAGACAGTGGCACAGAGAAGTGTATTGATTTGCTTATCACGGATTTAGTAATTTTCTCATTGGAATATACAGAAAATGGCAGAAACAAATTTCAGCACGGTGGTGGAATTCATTCTCCTAGGATTTTCTGACCTTGCAAGCCTCCAAGGATTTCTCTTTGGGATTTTCTTATTCATCTACACAAGTATCCTGGTTGGAAATGGCCTCATTATTGTCATCACCAAAGTTACTGCTGCTCTCCAAACACCCATGTACTTTTTCCTCAGAAATTTTTCTTTCTTGGAAATCTGCTATACATCAGTGACTATCCCGAGAATGCTGTCAGACCTTTGGACCCAGAAGAAAAATATTTCTTTACTAGCTTGTGGTATACAACTTGCTATCCTCCTTAGTCTAGGAGGCACTGAGAGTTTCTTCCTGTCTGTGATGGCCTATGATCGTTATGTGGCTATCTGTAAGCCACTCTATTATCCTGTCATCATGAACCACAAAAAGTGCCTTCAGTTGGTTACCGGTGCCTGGCTAATTGGAATTCCAATTCAGATAGCACAAACATGCCAGATATTCTCTCTGTCTTTCTGCGGCTCTAATGAACTCAGTCATGTTTTCTGTGATATTCCCCCATTACTGAAGCTGGCCTGTGGGGATACCTCTTTGAATGAGCTGTCTGTCTATGCTGGTGCTACGATCTTTGTTACAGTTCCTTCACTATTGATACTTTGGTCCTACACTAAAATCATTAAGACCATCTTGAAGTTACCATCTGCTGTGGGGAGACACAAAGCCTTCTCCACTTGCTCCTCCCACCTGATAGTTGTGGGCTTATTCTATGGATCTGGGTTTATTACATATTTAAGACCCAAGTCAAACCATTCACCAGGAGTAGATAAAGTACTTGCCCTTTTCTATACTATTGTAACCCCACTCTTTAACCCTATGATATACAGCCTGAGGAACAAAGATGTCATTGCAGCAATAAAACAGCTAGTATCTAAGTGTCTCAGTTAAATTCATAGATTCTGTCTTACTATCTTTCGGTCTCACAGCTCTCATAAAATTCTATGTTTTCTGTCATAGCTCTCATAAAATTCACTGGAAATTCTTCATATTTATAATATAATCCCTTCTCACTTTCATATTTTAGAAATCCTAATTTCTTTTAAGTCTCAGCTTAAGCAGAATCTTCAAAATGAAGTCTTTTTCATGTTTGTGCATATTCTGACTGTACCTATTTATGTAAATGCTTTCTTTCTTAGGCTAGATCATAAGCTTCTCAGGGACTGGGACCATTTTGTGTTTATTTTTGTATCTATGACTCATAATACAATACCTAGGAGACCCTTATTGAATCATCTTTGATAGAATGATTATAATTTTTATTCACCTGCTTTTAATCTTTCTGAGAAAATGATATTAATTATTTGGAACACTTCTTCCCAATCTTAGAATTATGGTGTCTATGTCTATTTATTTTGTATTATCAAGGACATATTTAGAATATTTGGTGAAATTATAGAGATGGAAGGAAACATACTGTGTGTGTAGAATAGCAGATGGACCATTTATGTGGAATGTAAAGCATGAAAAAGAAAAGATTAATTCATTATGTCTGGAAAGGTAGCTCAACATTTTTTTTTTAATTAGGGGAAGATAAATCACTTTGTCTTTCTCTTAACCTAAAAAAAAGAAAAAAAAATACACACAAAAACACATACAAATAGACACATATATATACACACACATCTATAAATACGTATAAACACACATATGTACACACAATGTAATTCTATATATCATATATAATTTAGATATGCATATGTCTATAGAACAATTTATCAATATAAAATATAATACATATATCTATAGATATGTCTTTATCAATATAACCATTCCTATATTATGTCTATATTCATTTCTAAAAGTGTACATGTGTATGTATGTATGTATATATATATATGCACATTTACATATATTTATAAAGAGAAAAAGTGTGTGAAAGAGTTACATCCAAATACATGTATAGATATTGATGATACATTAATATAGATATTGGTGATTTATAGAGAGAGATGCAGAGACAGGAAAATATGTTTTTTTCTTTTTTTTTGCAATTACAAACAATGTTACAATAAAAACCTTCAAAATTTGACTGTTTTAAAACTATTTGAGGGTATATTCTCCAAAATGGAGTTATTGTGCACAGTAAATATACTAAATACATATTGACTTGAGTTGAAATGGTAAGCTTTTGTTACAAGTTGACTTCTCTTTCTCTCCAAAATGGTTCTAAAAGTTTGTAATTCCAACAGCAGTGAATATGTCAGTATGTTCCTGCGTTTTCTCACTAGCACTGTATTTGATTTGTCATTATTTCTTGCCAACTTGATGAGTATCAGAAAACTTTTAATTTGTGCATTTTTTTATTATTCAAAAGGCAGAAGATGTTTTAAAGTAATTACCAGTATTTTGCAATTTCTTCTTTCCAAAACTGGTTCCTCAAAGCTACATTTGATCATTTGGCTACTTAGAATAATTTAGAGGAAACCATGTTATGCTTCCTTTTGAAATCTTCATGTTTTCATATTTTTTTGGCAGTTGAGAAGGAATGAAAGGTACACTCCTTTAAACAACAATCTATTTAAATTAGTTTGTGGACAATTTTAAAAATCCAAAACCATAACTTGGTGAAAATACCTACATCTTGTTGAAGTAACAGAAAGGAAAAATTTTCATTAATCTAAACAATTGGGTCATCATTCATTTACAAACTGACGATTCATTGAGCCTCAGTTTTGGAAGTATCCTTGTTATGCAGCCTGTAGTTGGACAAAAATATTTCTCTAAGATGACTAGAACTATTTTTCCTTTGCCTCTGAAGAGATCCAGGGAGGAAGACTCCACTACCTATACAAACTAAGAATTTCTCTCAGCTTTGTATCCAGTCAGATATTTGGGTTCCAGGTTCATTGTCTGGAGTTATTTAACAATTCAATAGAAATAGTATGTTCTCCATTTCTAGTATTTATTTTTAAAAATATATATTTTATTTTTTAATTTATGAAATAAAACAAACATTTCCACAACATAGTACAATGAAAAAGATGATTGTGCATGAAACTGCAAAACTATTGTGCACAACTGGCTATTCCTTTAAAATATAAAACAAAATTATCACATACATTTCATTTCCCCCTGTTTTTCTTTCCGGTCCCCTGCTGTAGAGATGGATGCCATTAGACAGAAACAGATAAATGGATAGAGAGAGACAGAGAAAGAGAGAGAGAGAGAGAGAGAGAGAGAGAGAGAGAGAGAGAGAGAGAGAGAGAGAGATGGAGACATAGATATAAATAGAAAGATGTAGATATGTATGTATACAATATATGTATGTATATATGCACACATATGTGCATACATATATTTATGTATTACATATGTAAAACTATTCTATACGTACTTCTATTTGTCAGGTTATGATTTGGATGCAGATATCATCTTTCTTCATATTGAATATTTATAATAGACAAAAGAACTTACTGATTTCTCATATTCACTGAATCATCACTCCTAATCCAGATACTATTGGGAAAGCTAGTCCAAATAGAATGATTTATGTGCCAAATTTTGTGAAGTATGGTATAAATATTTAATTTTTGCAAAGAAAATTTAATGCTAAGCAATTAAAAATAGAGAGTAGAATAGAAAATAGTAACATCACTTATAGAAATATTTAATATTAATTTAAGCCTTATCAGAATACATTATTCATTCAATTGCATATGTGCAATGAAATAGCCAAGGAGGATCTATGAGGGTTTTTCTTTCTCCTTTACCAACAATTATTTTTGTCAGGAACTCAGTTACTCTTGCTATTGGTGAAATGAAAAGTGCCCTGATATTGCCCTTACCTAGAGCACTTAGGGACCTTCCAAGACTTTTCATTTTTTCCCAAGGGAACATAAATGAAGATACAAGAGAGCCAGAGACTTTTTGTACAAACCCAGCTAAGATAATTGAGCTCTAGCAGAAGTACCATTAACATTTGTTGCTATTCAGTCATTTCAGTTGTGTCAAATCTTCATGACCCCATTTGGGGTTTTCTTGGCACAGATACTGGAGTGGTTTGCCATTCCCTTGACCAGCTCATTATACAGATGAGGAACTGAGGCAAACAGGATTATATGACTTGCTTAGGGTAACATAGCTGGTAAGTGTCTAAGGCTGGATTTGAACTCAGGAAACAGTGTTCTTGACTTCAGATTTGTCACTCTATCCACTGTGTCACCTATCTTTCACATGATAGACATTTAATAAATGCTTATTGGAGTATTGATTTAATATGAATATCAGGCACCTTGCTATTATTTTGGAGCAGGGAAAAATCTTTCCTCCATCTTGAGATCCATCTCTTATCATCTAAAAAAGCAATCATCAAAAGATTCATCAACCAAAAAACATCTTTTCTTTTCCTTTCATCTGTGGTACACAGTGTCATTAGCTTTGCTGCTCCAGTAACCAATTGTGGGGGTCAGATGGTTGGGGATGGCACTGAGTACTCAACTTATCAATGAGTCCTACATAGCCATAGGAAACCAGTCCATATCTTCACATGCTGAAATATCTATGTGGTTTCCAAGATCCTTTTCTTTTTTTTTTTAAGTCATCCATTCTTCTCCCCAAGACTTTCTCCTTAGTCAAAAACAATAATGATGATTAACAATAATAAATACCAAAAATATAATTTGCATAGCACTTTAAGATCTGCAAAGCATATTCTTGTAAGACTCTGTAAGGTAGGTTCTGTTACTATCTCTAATTTACAGATGAGGAAATTTAGGCAGAAACAGGGTTAAGTGACTATTTTTCCAGGGTCATTCAGCTAATAATGGCCTCAGGCAGGATTTACTTCAGTTTGACCTTCTTGACTCCAAATCCAGGGCTGTATCTTTCTTATACCCCATTGTGTCTAACAGATTCCCCACAGACACAACCATTATTTCCTGAAATTTCTTTGATTTTTGAATTTTCAATAAAATTTTTGAAATCCTTATTTTAATTCAAACTCAATTTACACTTGAGGATGCTCCATCCATTGCAGACTTCTGCCATCGAATAACAATAATTGCAACGATAATGGTGGTGAAGATGATAATTATGTGTGTGTGTATGTATATATGTGTATATATATATATATATATATATACACATGTACATATATGTATATAGATTATGTCAATAGCTTATGGTTTGTACAGAACTTTACAAATGTTGTCTATGAACAAAAGGGGGGAAACTTGTTAAAATATCATGGAAGTTGGTTGGTGGTAGAAGCATGGATATATAGGGGGAAATAAAATTAGATGATGAGTCTCAAAAAGGAAAGGTTATTGAAGGTAAATTGGAAGGAAAAAATCCTACGGTATCAATGCAGAGCAAGTTGCATACCTATCACCACTTCTGTTGTTATAAGTAATAGAAAAAGGCATGGGAGACAAGAATTACCTTTAGAGGCAGCTAGGTCATGCAGTGGATAAGGTACTGGACCTGGAATGGGAAAAACCTGAATTCAAATCCAATCTCAGACTCATTCATTCTGTGACCCAGGGCAAATCACTTAACCACTGTCTTCCTCAGTTTACACAATTGTAAAATGGGCATGATTATGGTACTTACCTTATAGGGTTGTTGTGTTAGTTATTATGTAAGAGGCTGTGGATTCAAGGGTAGACATGAAACAGAACTAACCTGCAAGATAATAACAGAAGTTTATTGATGAGAAAACAAATGAAAAAAACATACTTACAGATACTTAAATACAAAATGTAAACAAAGCAATTACGAAGAAATTTTAAGTGATGGAGAAGAATCCTATGAAATTGAAGAATCAAGGAGTGTCTCATGGAGAAAGTGGCTCATGAGCTGAGACTGGAAAGGAGCTATTGGTTACCAGAAGTCAAGACTCATCCAAGGAATAAGAATCAGGGGAATAAGTTGGGGAGAGACTTTTTAAG